TTTTAGTCTTCCGTCAAATCCAGAAGCTGGAGGACTGTCCTCTGTCGGATGTTCGCCACTGATTGATAGACGTAGGCCTTATCGTAGCTTCAACCGTTCATCCTTGAAGATGCTTCATTAATTTGGAGCCTGAGAACGCACTACGCCCTGGAGATAACCAGAGGTCTGCTCGGGGCAAAATTTTAGAATTTCACTCGACTCGGCCGGAGGAAAATATCCCCCCGTCGGAGTCCAAGCCTGAAATGTATCTTCAGATGTATTACCTGTGCCCCCACATAAGTCAGAGTTTCTTTTATTCTATCCTGGTCTATTTTTAATCTGCCCTGACTATCGTATCGTTAGTACGTGTTTATTTTAATGCATAAATGTCAACAATTATTGAATGAATTATTTAACCATACTCAACAATTATTGAATGAATTATTTAACCACACTCTAAGAAAGCCTTTATTTTTTTCTTTGAATTTGTGGAAAGTTAACAAAGGTGTAGGATGTCAATTTTGTAATTTGTTACTTTTTGGGAAGGGTGCAGCTACGAATATCCCCGAGAAAATCAAATCGATGGGATTTGTTTCGGGAAGCTCGACTCTGTCACTAGCCTAAGATGAGCTCAAGTACGAATAACTTTGTCTTTGCGCAAAAATAATTGCCCTAGAAAACCCAAAATTCCCTGTATAACCTCTGATATCATTTGAAGTAGGCCAAAATCCGATATCAGCCACTTGCGGTCTCTAGCGGCAAGGCCGCGAGTTAACGTAGTACTAGACGCGAAATCCAATTAAATTTCCGTAAAAACTATTTTCTTGGATCTGAAGACCCTGTTAACTGATTCAGTGGTATTTTGAAAACGTGTTCATGTGCTTCTCATATGTCATGTTACGGTACGTGGTCTATTGATATAAATAATGTACGAAATGTTAGGTTATGGATGTTTTCATGTGTGGAAACGCACGCTGAACGATGATAGGTTGAACGTACCCCCATGGCTTTGTCTAGTGCTCGCTGGGTTGTGATGAGCGCTGTTGTCAACATGGCGTTGTATCGTTATGAGCAGTGGTTGTTCCCTGCCTCGGAGCCAGTACAAATACACACACAACTATCTGTGCTGTACCATCTCTTCTGTTGCCATGCTCCAACGCGCCTAATTGCGTTTCCACGTTATTGAAGCTCCAGGGGCCACGTTTTGTCAGTGTACAGTCGTTGTCTGCATTGACAGCAACATACGATGCTTCTTTTAAATTTGTTTCAGTATTTTCAGTCGAGAATATTGGACGCTGTCCAAAATCGTTGTTTTGACAACTTAACACTTTCGAAGAGAAGGGCCAAATCTGACCAATTCTCAATTTTTCTTGGCCCAAAGAGCTAGAAGCTCTTGGGTGACTCGCTTGAGTAAGATTAGAATTTTTAAATTATTGCATATCACATTTAATGGCAAACACCTTCTGGATCATCTGCCAAGAACGTATATGAACAGGTCCCAGTCCGAGAAAAGGATGGAAGGATCCTGTTCATATGGACCTGTCGTCAGACAGAACACTAAATAAATAAAAAAATAGTATATTTCTGATAGGGAGCTGGGGTAGTTCAGTCAGTATAGTGACTGACGACTGGGGTTCGATGCCCGATGACATTACTTATCTACGTCACAGAAGTATAAATGTTGGAACATTGTGAAATAAAATCGTGGCGATTGGAAATGAATTTATTTCCGATCTGTTTTTCTAGTAGGAAGAATTGGAATTTGTCCTTCGGCGACCGCACAGGCTACGTGATTCACGAAGAATTCCACGGGTGGAAAACCGGACCTCAGCTTAGTGACGTAGGCCACGACAAACATCTCAGAGTCAGCGAATTGGAACTGGATAGAGATGAACTCAGTTACTTAGAAAATTCTTCAGTTACTGCAGATCTAATTGATTCTCTCACAAATGTTAGGAATTTTTCCTCACGTGTAGTGTTTTTTTTGATGCTTAAAATGATCGCACTATGCATTAGACCAGTGGTGTTCAACCTTTTTTGTTCGCGTACCCCCAGATATAATATTTCTTCAATTTTGTACCCCCAAAGATGTTGGTGTATAATTCAAGTTATACATAGTATATAATCTACATCTAAAATAAATTAAATAAATTACATTACTGATTATTCAGTGTTTATCATAAAATAATATTTTTAAAATTTCACGTACCCCCTAAGATGTCTTCGCGTATCCCAGGTTGAATACCACTGATCTGTAAAACCGTTCTTGCAGTTTTCAGTGAAGCCTACAGATAAAATAATTAACTCAACACAACATTCAGCTTGAAAGGGGGTTAAGAAGGACTGGGGTTTGAAATATTTTCTTCTCTTAAAAATCTTTATACGTGTTTTATAATGTCGTTACAGTTTTGAGAGGGATATGACAGCTTCTGGTCTATAAAGGGGGAACATTTCCTCCATGTTTGAATTTTAGTTAAAGGCATCATTTTCTTCTGACTTTACTGAAACAAAAAAAGTTGCATACTACTGCATAAAAAAAGCAACTAAAATTGTTTTTTAGCGAACTGCGTCGCGTGTTTTTTTGTGATGTCTGCTTTGAAATAAATCCATTTATGCTCGTCATGACGATGGCAGTGCGTAGTGCGGGTTTGTGGGCCGAGCAAATGATACGCTAACCGGGTTTCCGGCATTAAACGAAATCTCGTTATCCGGTAAATCACAGTCTGGGATTCTGGGTAATACAATCAAGTGTACGGTCCGATAGCACATACAGACTGATCTTAATCCAATCAAGTTCTCCATACATAGCAGATAGATGAAGCCGGGGTGTAGCTATTGCTGAAATGCTTCTGATTTGACTCACAGACAGACGTGCGCATCGCAGTCACTGGTTCGTTGCTCTGTCTAGAAAGTTTGTATACAAGTAACGTATCTTATTCGATCGATTTCTATCCAATACATTTGTCTGCATTGACAGCAACATACGATGCTTCTTTTAAATTTGTTTCAGTATTTTCAGTCGAGAATATTGGACGCTGTCCAAAATCGTTGTTTTGACAACTTAACACTTTCGAAGAGAAGGGCCAAATCTGACCAATTCTCAATTTTTCTTGGCCCAAAGAGCTAGAAGCTCTTGGGTGACTCGCTTGAGTAAGATTAGAATTTTTAAATTATTGCATATCACATTTAGTAAGCACCACTACGTGATTATTTTGTTAATTTAATCATTTGCTTGCTACGAACGAGATAAATCGACGATTGGTTTCTGTCTCTGAATATTTCCTTTGCTCTGAGGAATCTGTGTTGCTGTATGTGGTGCGCCTTTCTGTAACGGCAACTTCTCCGTCACGTTTATAGGACGTGTATCCTACCTACCCAAGACATCGCAGTCAAACGTAGATTTTCAGTGTTGTTCGTTGTAGAACATTGATAATTACGAACATGGCTGTCTTCTGGTTTTTATTGTCGTGTAGTCCGGTAGACGTTTAACAACGTTTCGGAGGCCCTTGCTGCTTCCATCTTCAGGGCTATCCCACTAAATGATTGTTTGGGGAATATTGATTTAAGATATTTAAGCTACTTGGAAGGAAAATCAAAGGGCTAAAGACGATTTAAAATTTAAAATATTGTTTGTATTTTATTGAACGACGCTGGTAGTAGCTTAGACTATGTAACATCGGATTATAGGTTGATTAATGACTAATAAATGGAAAGGATACACAAGGAAGCTGTCGCCGTCTAATTTAAGGTTGGCCACCAGCTCAAAATTTTTAATGTGTGTTTCAGTTCTTACAATAAGTAGGCCAATACGTTTGTTGTGACACATTATTTATTGTAGACTGTATCCTGTTTTATCAAAGTTTCTGTTTCTTACATTAGTTCCCAAAGCTGCCTAATGGTACCAGCACTTATAAAATAGAGCATTTTACAATATAGCATCATTACCGATTATGCTTTTGGCCTCTGGGAGCACATTAACGGCAAAATATTCCTAAACTGTATGCTATTAGGCGTACACACCAAACTTCTTGGACTTTAATCCGAAGCTCATCTAAATAACTTTTGAAAATTCGGTCCGTACCGCAAAGTAAACAACTCATCACCATTACAAAGATCAACTGGTTAATGTTGATAATGGAATAATCGCTGTTTACACTGAGAATCATAAGAACCACATGAATGAAATATGTGGGTAAAACAAAGTTATTGAACGTTAAAGCAGGTGGTACATATAATTACCATTCAGCCTGAAGTGTTGAATAACGGGCCGTACAGAGCAGACACGTTTGATGTGTACCTAAAGACGGCGACACAGCTTTAGAGTGGTATGTAATGTATGTCACTCGGAATGTTTGGAAAGCAAATAAAATATGACGATAATGCATCCTTAATTTCTCAATATTTTCATTGTTTACTATAATAGATACACATCTATTATCATACATTCACTATTGTTCACTGCATCCAGTTTTGATACACTGAACATGCAATTACATTTTAATTCAGTTCATTTTTGGATATTTCCATCTGAAACTTTAAGTTATTTTTCATGTTCACAAAATTCTTGACAACATCAAAATGCAATTTAAGACATTTGCCAGTTTCTCGAATATCGTCCATACTGTCCACAAAACTTTGAGTCACATGGCATATCGATATACTTCCCATATCGTCTTTGTTATCGAAAATCATCTTGTATCGATATTTTGCTGAATTTTCCCTTGGGCCTATATATTGCAGTACTCCATAGAGAGTACCGTTCTTTACTGAGAAATATCGATAGAATATTTCACCGTAAGCGAATATGATGTAGCAGTACCTTCGAGCAGGCTTGATGTCTACCAAGCCAGTCATAAATTTTCCCTTGTATTCGTATGTCCATTCTTTGTGCGAATTTGTGAGATGCTTCTTCAAGTCTTGCAGATTTCCACCCCAAGAACAGTTGACTGCAGGCACCTTGAAAATGTCAAAATAATAAGAGCACCTCAGTTGTAGAAAAACATGAGTGTGTGAACTGAAATATCCTCTTGATTGCCCTCACCCCAAAAAAGTTTGTGTCCATTACATAAAAGGGCGGATTTATAACTTGTGTTGGGCAAGGCCGTGGTCTAGGCAACACGGAGTTTTCCTCCGTGGCATCCCAACCATTACTCCATTCACACACAGAAGAAGGCAATGGCAAACCACTTCTGGATCATCTGCCAAGAACGTATATGAACAGGTCCCAGTCCGAGAAAAGGATGGAAGGATCCTGTTCATGTGGACCTGTCGTCAGACAGAACACTAAATATAATAAATACTTACACAGTCTGTTTGCAGTAACTTTGCAACAAGAAATAAACTTAGGTCTGATTTGTATTCGGGATGTACGTATTTCATTTCCCTTCTGAGGAACCCGTAAACCTGACAGATTTTTTCCTTCTAATTTTCCTGAGTCCCTTGAGAAAATGGGATATCTTAGCGCAGTTGATATCAGTTCATAATTCTTTACATTTAGTTCCCAACATCGCAGTCGAGAAGTTGGCACTCCTGCTTCATATTCGGGAAGTCCTGGCCTCAAATCTCGGCCCGAAGGCCAGGTATCATGACTGACGTTTTTCGTGTTCTACGCTGTATTTTAAGGCGCGGCCTGTTTTAAATTAGGCCACGACCACTTCCTTCCACATCCCTTCCAGTTCATTACCCACAAATTATCATATGTCGCTTTATAATCGGGTCGGGTTAGGTTAAATACGCCAAAAAATGTAACTCCAATTGAGGATCCTGAATGTGTGTTGAGCCTTGTTTCCGCATAAGTCTCTGCACTTCACTGTAGTAGACATATAAAGAGCATTATTACAGAAGGGCGTCAGAATGACTGATATGCGGGATATTCTTACGCTCATTTGGCTTGGTGAGTGCGCTTTATTAATGGTTCATACGCCCAGACGTAACTGATTGTACGTCTGTGCTGAACGTCACCAATACGACCTTCTAACATGACGTATGACCCAATATTTTCATGTTGGACCAAATATTTCTGAGGATGGCTGTCTTCTGGGTCGTAGCCCCGTGTCTCAGAGGTCCTTGCTGCCTCCATCTTCAGGCCTCATCGCTCTGAGAACCTCAGATCCTACAGATATTTTTGATAATGCAAATATCCTGATAAACCCTTGTGGTATGGTGTCCTTGATATGGATATTTATATTCTTATTTAATAATTATCTTCTTCCTTTTTAGGCAGATAGCTCTGGCCGATATGATCATCGTAAACAAAGTGGATCTTGTGGACAACGAACATTTGGCAGAATTGAAGAACGAAATCAGGTGATTTTCTGTCATTAAATTGTCCTCTTTACAGTTTAAATCGCATGAAATGAACTTTTAATGGGGACATCGTGCTTTTTCGTCAGCCCGCATATTTAATAACCAAAACTACTTGACAGATTTCGATTAAATTTGGTATTTGGTGGAATTCAAAAATAACTCCCTAGTACCCTTAGCTCTACCTGCTTCGTTGACAACCGTATAGTAGTTTTTGGAGCTGAATCATGCTGACGGACGAACGGGAACACCCCGTTTTCATTTGTGTATGTAATGTAAGAAAAGGTTTATTACTTGCATGGCACGTGTGTGTTATGCGTGACTGACTTTGTTCTCAATGATGACGCTAGGTGGCAGAGTGTTCTGTTTTACGAATGCTGAAACCATTAGGCAGCTTGTAAAATTTGTCGTAGTGGAGGTAAATATACGAAGGAGTTGAAAGAAATTGTGTAAGTGATAAAGACAGGATATACGAGGCGCGTCCTCAAAGTAAGTTTCCCTGGGGCCGTTTACAGAAACAAAACACAATTTCATGGAAATATTTATTGCAACAGATACAGCAAGTGTCCAGCTATTTTTCAACATATTCGCCACCGGAATTGAGACATTTGTCATACCGTGGGACCAACTTTTAATACCTGTGTCGTAGAAGTCTGCCGCCTGGGATTGGAACCACTGTGTGACAGCCATCTCCGCCTCTCTGTCATTCTCAAAACGCTGACGCTGACGCTGACCGGACAGGAATTTCTTGAGGTGTAGGAAAAGATGGAAATCACTGGGAGCGAGGTCCGGGCTGTAGGGTGGATGATTAAACACCTCCCAGCTGAACTCCTGCAGGAGACTTGCTGTCTGTCGAGCCGTGTGCGGCCTAGCGTTATCACTGACCGCACTTCACAGTCGGCGGGGGCTGGAATAAGAACCTCCATCTTCAACAGCTGCAACGATGCTACTGTGAGAACGCGGGAAGTGCCGTTAGTGCATGCGCCATGCTACGTCATTGCTCTATCACGTACGCACAGTCGCTTCGCGCAATATAAGGTTTGCTAGCTGTGGGACGAGTGGGAAACTTACTTTGAGGACGCGCCTCGTAAATCATTTCCCCTTTGCTTATCAGTGAGCTATTTCCATTAGTAAAACTATAATCTGTTAGTCATTATTTCTGTGATTCATTTTCTATTGTCTGTGCTGTTAGATCTGACTACGAACGTATATTAAATTTCTTCAGTCGCAAATCCTGTTTGTTTGTGTATGATGTATGTAGGATATTACCGTGTCTGCTGAGTAGCACAAAGCTTTCCAGTTCACTTGGTTCCTGTAGATATGAAATATATTTTTCTGCTTTTCACCTGTAGTCCTGTCTTTGTGTCCGTCTGCCTGTGACAGGAATTCCAAGGGATAACTGTTACTCATGATTGCAGAAACACAAATACAGAGCAGGTATAGTCATTTTGTAATATTGGATCAAATACTATCATCTGGAACTCATAACATATCTCCATGCGTAGCGTATAAATGAACTGAAGCTGTGTTCTTTTGTTGCAAATACACCGAACAGCAGAGTGTGAGATAAAGTTATCTGGGAAGTCTGTGGGTCGATGTATGAATCAAACCTTACTGCTCTCTTTATGTTTCCTGGTACCAGAATACTCGAGCGTCACTTTTGATTCTGTCAGAAACCTAATATTCAATATCTGTATGTGTATCCTGGTATAATATTTTTATTTTCCTTACTTGGGATACTTTTCAAGATGGTGGCCGTACGAGATTTTGAATGTCGGCAATTTCCAGTGGCATTCGAGTTCAAAAAAAAAATTTGCTATATTATAAAAATATGCAACTCTGATTTTGGTAGTTTTAATTCTAGGATAAAAATGGCAGCCAATCGAAACATTCAAGCTTGTGCAGTTTTCAGTTCGATGACGACAATTATATGAGGTGCGATCGGAAAGTTTCCAGACTGTGTTAATAGCGGGCGAACCGGATGTAGTACGAGCTTCTGCCTTTAGGGGGTGCGGCCTACATTCATAGTGAATCAGTGTGCCAGCCGGCATCATCGAATTAGCATTTGTTTCTTAGTTACGGGCGTTTTGGTAGTGCATTACACCGACCCTCCTGCGATTTCGGAATGGCGCGTGTGCATCAAATTTTGCCAAAGACTCGCCAAAACGGATACGGAAACCTATGAAATGCTAAAGCAAGCATTTGGGGAGTCCGCAATGGGTCGTGCACAAACTTTTGTGTGGCATTCACGTTTTAAAAATGGCCGAACCTCTGTCGATGATGACGAGCGTTCTGGACGACCATCTTTGGGATCGTTGTGTTCACTCCCAGGGGAACTACTTCGAGGGTGATGGATGAATTTAATACCTGAGATAAGTGCACGGGTTTTTATAGGCGCAGTCTAGAAACTTTCCGATCGCACCTCGTAAACTGTGCCAAGGTAAACAATTTTAATTATAAATATGGCGACGGTGCGAAAATTTTATGTTTTGTATCACAAATGTGCGCCTGGCGTAGTGGAAATTAGGTGTCTTCTCGTTTCTGATGTTGTTACCAATGTTTCGGAGTAAAATGTTGCATCCATCTTCAGTGACACCCAAAATATATACGTGTCTATTTCATCACTAACCCCATTTTACAGGTCTTTTACTGAGAAGTTTTTAATTACTCACGTAGTAAAGGAATCTCCCCCAAAACCTGACAGTGTAACGTGTCTTGTTCTTCGAAATACACTTTAATATTATCCTCTCATCTAATTTTTACGTCTCCCAAGTGAGGTCTTTTGACCGAAGCTCGCGTTTTTCATCTCCCCGCGTGCTACTCGTCTGTCCCATCTCTGAACCGATATTCAGTCTGTGTTGGTTGACCTCCGCGTCTGTATCGTGTGATATAATTGTAGGTCTTTCTTCTACTGAAATTATCATACCATTCCCGCATGTTGAACCTGCCGTAAATAAAGGCACATTCTGTGAAAAAGGGAAGTAACATACCTTCTATTGTTATTTCCGGATTGACTCGCCTCTGATTCGAATGGCTGTTCAATATTTCAGGTAACAAAAGCCAAAGGCTGGAAGGAGACCAAAGGTGTTCGAGTAATATTGCTAAATGCCACTTGAAATTTGTAATATAGCTGAAGCACGAAATGCGCTCAGGCTTTGCTGTTTATTGATGCGCGCGGTCACTTCCGGTTTGCAAAATATTGAATCCTGTAGCACCAAGCGTTATTAATCCCTCGATTGTGAAGTTGGATCAGTAACTCGTAGTGGATCTTTGTCACCCACGTAATTTACTGCGGGAAGATGTCAGCGGATTTCGTGTTGGTTCTGAAAACATAAAGAGTCACTGTCCTTACAAACAAAAAATTATAAGATGATAATGTTGCGTCATATTGTGTTGAATATATACTTGTTCAATTTTTATCAGTCTAATCACAATAAAATATTATTATTAAATATTAAAATATTATTACAATTA